TGAAGGTAATGCCATATTGTATTATCTTTGTATTATCTTTAAGATCCCTATAACAATACTGGTTTAATGTAAATTGTGGATGTTGCCTTATATAATAATAATTCCTTTTATTATAATTTTTAGAATATTACGAGAAACATGTACTTGTACTGGATATCGCACAACGTTCCAACAGTTATTTCTGACAAGTCATCTAACTTGCATCACGTAGTGTGATAATTTAGCTTTTATTAGTTACTGTTGTATTTGGTGAATTTTCACGCGGCATGATGTTGTTTAAATGGAATGACCATTGGGAAATTGATATCGATATTTAACCATAACGATAATAAAAATAAATAAATAAATTTAGTTTATATGAAGACAGCCTGGACCAGTCTCAAGATTGAAGATCAAATAACTGCGGGACTAATGATTCTAAATTTAGATATATTAATTTTACCTTAGTTTCACAATAAATAAGTCATTTTACAATATATAAAATGACTTATCGCTATAACAAAAAAAGGTGCTTAATTTCGGAAGTATATGGTAATTATATTTTGATAAGAAATTAATTATCTCTTATTATTTTAAGAAGATTATTTGCCAATTCTTTCAGATCATCATCCTCTTTTAATATTGCATTATTTGATTTTTGACAAACGAACATTTGTTTTGATCGTAGCAATAGACTTTTGCTAACGATGTGGTATAATATGTGCAAGTTCCTTATCAATTGATCAAACTGTTCGAATAATTTGATTATAATCTGTAATTTTAAATTGGCAGTTCGTCCAATCTGTTGAATCTGTTTAATCTCTTCAAACTGTTCAAATCTGTGAGTTGATTAACAATCTGTATTATCTGAATTTGAATAAATCACACCATTAGATACTGATGAAATAGTAAGCTTTTATTCAAATCAACCAGTATGCTGTATTTGTTACACGTAGTTTTACGCCAATTTTAAACATTATCAATTTTGATTTTATCAATATTATTTTTATTTTTTATTTTATTTTATTTTGTTTTGTTTTGTTTATTTTTGTTTTCTGAGATCAATTTAATCAATATTATATCCTAATTTCAATTATAAGGTATCTCAGGTTTATGGTTTTTCTTATGTCAACTTTGATTTTAGTTTCAACAGTTTTTCTGCCTGTGACTATAATACTGCATGTAAATGCTCTACAGGACTTCTACAAGGCCAATACCATGGTAAACAACTTGGTATGTTATGAATCTTTAATTTATCTTAACAAGCCATAATATATCGCTTACAATTTATATTTCTATCAGGTTGTAACCATACATCCGTTTATGAATGCAGTTCTTCTAGAGAAACATGTGAATATGGCTATCGGACTCTTGTGCACTTTGTGATACTTTAACATGCAATTGTATGATTTCAACTGCATCTTGCATTAGCAAAAATGATTGTGATAATTATTGCACTACGAATTCACAATGTTGTTCTGGTTTTACTTGTATTAATAATGTTTGTTCATAATTTAAATCTTTGTTAAATTTTACAAAATGTTGTAATGAGTGTAAGGAGTATGTATGAATAAAATACATAAATCAAACATATTTAATTATTTTGAACTTGATTAGTTAACTTATTTTTCATATGAAAATTTCAACAGGAGGAACCGTCGATATTATACTAATGATTTTTCACCTGGTGTGCAACATATAAAAAATCATTTTACAATACCAGATCATTCCACTAGTACATGTTATGATTATAATCACACACCAATTTATTATAATAAAAATGGTGTGAGATTATAATTATAACATGTACTAGCGGAATGATCTGGTATTGTAAAATGATTTTTTATATGTTGCACACCGGGTGAAAAATCATTAGTGTAACATTGACGGTTCCTCCTGTTAAAAATTTCTAAAACAATATAACTTTGTTAACAGTTTAACAATGATGAAATTGATAGTTTATTTGACTTTAGTATACTGTATAATGGGTTTGATTCCTAATCATAACTTTTCTCTCTACTGTATTTTTCTTAACTCTAAACAATCGATAATCGCTGGGCACAAGGATATGATCTAACGATTTATTACGAACGAAATTTTATGAACAAGAGGGTAATTTATTAAAGCACTAACTGACTCTGAATTTTTGCACATTTTCTTTTAGAGCATTAAAATAATCAAATTGTCGGAATTCCATTTTTATTTTGAAGATGAAATAATAAAATATATTTTTAGCCAAAGTATGAATGTACTCCTTTTTAAAACATCATATAATTAATGTGGATCTATGCGGTTAGAAAAACATGTTAATACTAATAGTAAATTTTAAATTATCTTTTTTAAACTCTTAAAGAGGATGAATCAGTCTTCTTTGGAGATAACTTCATCGATTGTAGAAGCAAGTATGCTTGAATTCTGAATCGGATACTTTTTCGTCTAATTTAGGAAGATAATTCCCAATTTTTTTTGGCATGATAGTACAAAGAAATGAAACTAAATTACTCGAAGGGATTGGACCCAGTTAGTACATTTGTGATGCGTAATATTCAGCAAAGTGCGTGAATGTTGTCATCATTTTTGAAAATTCGCTACGGTAAAAAAATAATGAACTAATATATATAAATGTACTCGGGTTACTATTTATAAACCAGGAAGTTTAAAAATAGATTTTTGTAATAAATTTTTAAATTTCATTTGCAAATGACACACGTAATACAATAGAATTTAATTATGCGCGTTGTTTAAATGAATACTGCATTTAAATGACTACTGCTTTTCGTAATGTATGAAACCGCGCCTTTTGTAAATATCTATCTCTTAAAATAACTTATCAAGCACTGCCATGTATTACATTGCACTTTCTAATTTA